ACCATACAATGCCTTCTTCAATTTGTAGACTTTATCTTCTTTTCCTTTAACTTCATATCCTGCAGGCTGCTCAACATATACTTCTTCTTCCAAAGTGCCATTCAGAAAAGCAGATTTAACATCCATTTGATGAATTTTCCAATTATTTTGAGCTGATAGAGAAATAAGCATACGAATTGTATCTAGTCTTGCTACAGGAGCAAATACCTCAAAATAATCAATACCTGGCTTTTGTTTGTACCCTTTTGCTACCAACCTTGCTTTAAAGCGATCAATTTCTCCACTGGACTTGTACTTAGTTTTATACACCCACTTTACTCCAATTGGCCTTTTATCTGCTGGTAAGTCTATCAGCTTCCATGTTTGATTCTTTTCAATGGCATGAATTTCTTCATCCATTGCTTTTCTCCAATGTTGATTATTTGAAGCTTCTTCAAAAGTTACAGGTGTCTTAGAAACATGTGAAACATGGATGGATTGTGCAAGTTTAATCATAAGTGGCTAGTTTTGTTGAGGGCGGAGTTATAACTCGGATAAATTACAGGAAGTGCGAATGTGAGATTTTAGAACTAAGAAGTACGAATAAGCAAGAGAGAAGGAAGAAGTTAATTTTTAGAAAGAAGAGTTTAAAGTTTCATACTACTTGAATCTTTCCCCATAAAATGTGTTAAGCTTAAATGGGAAAAATAATTATGATCATGTAGATAACTGAGTGTCCATCACGTAGGCATGGAAAGAAAATATCAATTATGGAATTACCTGAGGAGGTTCAAATCCTCCAGCATAATGAAAATATGACCCAACAATCATAACATGATCAGCATCCCCAGTTGATGTCCATATAGAAATGGCTTTTGTCCAGAAGCATCGGTTTGAAAAGCTAAAATCATCAAAGTAATCATCATGAAAGTTGAATAGGTCATACAAGTACAAGACCAATAAAAGATGAAAGATCATTAAACAGAGAAAAGGGCATTCCTTTTTTTTCTTCTTTCCTCTTCTAGACTCATCTAGGGATTTTCTAAACAATTTCGTAATCAGGAATATTGATCCTAGATATCAGATGTTAGAAGGGTCCAGAAATTTTCTGAGTACAGATTATTTAGTTGTATTCAGATGATTAAATATCCAAGAAAGTGGTGATTTAATAGGAAAGTGGTTTGTGGCAAATTAAATTTCCCTCAATTATCAGATTTTACAAAACTGGTAATATGAAGCAGTTCAAAAACGATGCTTGACATGATTATCACCTCATTATGGCCACTCCACCTGGTTTAAGTATCCTGCACATTTCCTTGAAAACTTCAAGAGGCTTTGTAAGGTAATCAACACTTACCTGTAATGCATATTCAACTTGTAAGCTTTAAATGGCATACATATATGCTAAGCAAAAATTCAAACACGGTTTTTGTTGGAATACAAACAAAGTCTCACATCATTAAAACAAAAGGAGAAAATAAAAATTTATAAAGCGTACATATACTACATTAGTCAAAGGCTTTTTGGATGATGACCAAAAGTAAAACTATAAAAATAAAAGTTCAGAGCGGAAAATATCTTACCATTGCAAAGTTTTGTGTGCAAATATGTCGATAAAAATAACAAGATATAAGCAAACAAAGACAGATACTCATTGACAGAGGCTTGCACACATATATTTCATTGGTTAGTGAGATTTTAGGTAATGACTAAAAGTAAAACTATTGAGGGTGAAAGTCCAAAGTGGACAATATCTTACTATTGTAGAGTTGTGTGGATAAATATAAAAATAACAAAATATAACTCTCCTCTTAACAAATATATCCCACCAAAAAACAAAAAGGCCAAAATCATACCCTAACAGTTTTACCCCAAAAGATTTTAGGGGAGGGACCTGAAGTTTCTAGTTCCAAAACAAAACCTGGAGTCTTACATTCTATTAAACTCAAATTTAAGCAAAAGTTGTGGTTTACAATTTGTAAACAGCCCAGAAACCTATGACTATCATTTCAATCCCACGGTAGCAGTTTATGTGTACCCTGAGTGCTTTAAATCAGCTATCATAGTGAAGAGACAATCAAGTTATTCAACCAAGAAAGGCCATTTTCATCAATAGACCAGTATCAACTAAAACTAGTCAGAAACTTCTATCCTAATATATGTAACTCTCAAAATTTAAAATAAAAAAAATGGTAATTCTACTACTCGATAAAATTATTCCAAGCTGTCTCTTTAACATATAATCAGCATCTGTCATAGCTTGTCACCATCAACATCTAAAGAGGCCATTACATGAAATTTCTTATGGCCAAATGCTAAAAACTCGAGAGCGTAATGATTGAAACCTAAGCTTTAACCAAAATAAAGATAAAACTTATTACAAAATATTAGAAGAAATTTTTTTTTTAAAGAAACCACTGCAAAAATATGCATCACGCTCTCACATGAGCAAATTACATGCACCACTTGCAATAATTTCAAGCATCAAAGATAATATATGGAAAAGTATTTTTACCACATTAGTGATTATGTCGAAAGAATTATCGTTAAATGGGAGTTTGGGGTTCACATTTAAGTCTTGCACAGCATACTCTGTGAGAACCTACAACATCAACAACTTCTATTAGCAGTGCCACGTTCCTCCATCTGAATAAAAATGTTGAGGATCTAGAGATATAGCCATGTCAATATTATTTTATTGAATAAAGTGCTGGCTAAATTATTGAATTCAGGCTATTGGATTGCAAATGGGTGTTGAAAAAAACTCTAAAAGAGTCACTAAACTTAACAATACCAAATTCAGTTTCAGTCCTAAAATTAAAGGTCAATGATCATCACATAACAGTAACAGAGAAACTGTATAATCTTACTGGGTTCCTCTTCAACTCGTCTTCATTCATGCCTAATCCCACTACTCGTTCTTGCTTGTAACCTGATGGAAAATGGCTGACCTAATGCAAAGTGAAAATTTATGACAATATGTATACGGAATGCAACACTAGAGAGACTGAGTTATGGTACTAATGCTCTTACCCAACTGCTACACATATCCAAGATGCTTACTCCAGGAGTGTTGCTAGGTGGGAAAACTTTGGAGTAATACTTAGTCAGAGCAGCAATAGCGGGGTCATCAATGTGTGTCACAAATCGAGGTGCTTCATAGAACAAGGAATCTGGTGTCCTGAGGGGAAAATTTTCTTGACATTATACACAAAGACTAAGAAATAGAAAAAGAGGATAAGAATTATTAGATCCCACAGGCAGCATACAAACATCAAAGAATCAAAATAGCAGATAATGATATTACAAACAACACCACAAGTTAAAAGACTCAACAGAAATTTCAATAACACAACACCATACATAACTCACCTTAAAAAAAACACGTATTTACACACATTTTAGCCATACTTTATAAACTATTCTAAAACATATAGGTAATAGAGATTTTAAACCCATTGTAATTATGGTACCCTTAGTAAGTTCCTTCGAGGAAAGAAGTTTTAAAGATAACCCACATCCCAACATGCCTTTGTAAGCAAATAATCCATAAGGTGCTAAGGATTATATTATGTAAAGACACCAGGGTAGGTCCTCGTTTATATGATTAGATTCCTACAGTTGTACACCTAACTTAAGACCTTTATTCTTTGCACAAACAAATATATGGAACACAATGCAGAAAGCAAATTGATTACTTAAAGGAGAAAGCATAAAAATAATGAAATCATTGATTAGTTCTTCAAGCAACTAGCAGAGAAATTTACTCATCAAAGCGCTGGAAATCCTCCTCCTTGAAGGGGAACTGCTCCGGCCATTCCACATTCTTCAGTATCTGTAAAATGAGAAAGTGACACAAAGAATTAGAAAAACCAATACAATTCAATTTGCACTTAATATGAAACAAGGGGAACACAAGACTTGAGCCATGGAAGACTTATTGATAAAAATTGTGCAGCCCTACATAAAATAAGTCATTTGAATTGCTTGAATTATTGTGCACATGAATACAATTGTCCTTGATGATGAGGCAAGTTTAATTTGTGTACTATGACATACTCATCATTACATTAGGGTGTCATACAGCATCGAAGTTATAATTAGAGGCAAGATTGTTAACTAGATAGTTGATGAAAGATGGAAAGAAAGAAAAAAAGATTATGGAAGCATGAATGTATGACCTGATCCACAGAGGGGCCAGCCGTTATCCTTGCAGAGGCAATGAAGGAGTTGGAGTTGGAGTTGGCGAGCATAGTCATAAACTGAGAGAAGAAGGAAACTCCAAAGCCCAATAGCACGCGACGAGGACCCTTAAGTCTCCAATTCCACTTTTTTATTACTGCTCTAGACACAATGGCAGAAGAGGAAGAAACACCACCCAACACTGGCAATGGCAACCTTAGTCCAACAAAATTGGCCATTTGGAGTTTCACAGTTCACACTCAACAACACAAGCCATGTCACCGCTAGATTATCCTCAACACATCATTCACAAGTGATACATATGCACCTTACGTGGCTGCCTGCTAGCCCACTACCACAACTTCATTTTTCCCTTCAATTACCGCTAAACGTTACTCATTTACTCGTTAATTTTATCTGTTTATACCAACGCCATTCTTATCTAATCCTTATATAATTATTACACCTATAAGAATTAAATTATATATTTATATATGATCGTAACTTGTAAGATCTATTATGAGATATGATCTTGGTATGATGTTTTTAATTTAGATTTTTATTTTTATTAAAATAATATTTGTAGAGTAAAAGTATGTTATGTAAGTATATATTAATTTTTAATTGTTAATTTTAAGATATTATATAAATTATATTTATAAAAAAAATTATATAATTTTTCAAATATTTTAATTTTTTTTTCAGATATTACAATTTTTTAGTCTTATATTAATTTTGTTTGTAATATTGTAACTGGCCCGGTTGACCCATTACACAGCAAAATACAAAATAAAACGATAAAATAAAAACTATGCTAAAGATTGTTCACGTGGCAGGTCCATGTGACAGTGCTCCTAGTCCAATAAATACTTCCAAGTTCCTTACAAAATGATTATAAAATTAATTAAATTAATAAATTAAATTAATTAAAATTCTAAATTAATAGTCTAATAAACTTCAAGACAGTAAAATATAGCAAGAGAAAATAATTAGGCACTAACAATAATTAATAGAAGAATATAAAGATGAGAAAATATACGAAAATTATGATTCATCAGTAACTTTCATTAATTTGAAAAGATTTTGTATACTACAATAATTAAATGCAAGATAAGATTCTCTGTTAAATAAGTTATCTAGTAATTTGTGAACACATGATGCAAAACTATTACGTCAATCCATCATATATTATTTTTCCTAACATTCTAATTTTTTAAAGAACCGAAATTTATTAAAGGTTATGTTATTCGGGAGATCGATAAAAATTAATAAAGAGAATATTATAAATAAAGTGTAATAAGTAATTAATATTTATCTTCACAACATAGAAGATTAGAAGGGAACGTTCATGGTATTTTAATTTTTATGAACAATACACTTTTAATGGGTTTTTATCGTAGAAAAAAAACAAAACAGTTCCCACAAAGCTGCCGACATCTTCCAGAAATTAATAGAGAAACAAGAAAATTTTCACTATTGCTTAAAAAACGTGAGAGCAATTTAATTTGATGACAGCAACGAATTGCATTGTTCAACTTTTGTAGAATTGCTAAGAAACAACTCACCATGCTAGTATTCAATACAAGGAAAATGTGATCAATTTAGAGATCAAACTCAAGTTTACTTATTATTGGAACAAAAAAATTGAGACCGTCCATAACTCTTGGTTTCGTTGTCAATGTGATCAATTTATCTGAGCTCTTTTGTTTCTAATGAATAGAGTTGTCTTTTCATAGGATAATAGTCCAAAAACTAAGAGTTCAAAAGCCAAAGCAAATTCCATCTTTATTATACCACAAACGAAAACCAAAACAAGTTCCACCCATTTTCAACTAAAAGTTAAATAGAAAAAGAAGAGGATTAAAGAGAACTGCCATCAAATATAACTAAACAAAATGTGCTGTCTTCGTGGGTGTGATTAGGTAAGGGTGGTCTATCAAGGAAGTAACATTATTTCATTTTAGGAAGAAATTTGAAGATAAAATATGTCACTAGCTACGTGAAACACAATAATACATAATATTCCATGCTAGCTTGCAGCAACTATATACGTACAAGCATAAATAAACAAATAAAATAAAATAAAATAATATGAGATGAGAAAGTTATTGAAAACAAATGCAATCGTTTCCATTAAGCATATATGTAGTAATCCATATGGTTTTGATGAGACTTTTTCCTTCTTTAATTCCATTTGCTAGCTTTTGACAATGTAACAAGCAACATAAGATAGCAGGCAACCAAGAAGTAAATGAGCAATTTTTGTATTAAACAAAGTTCATAACCGCAAGCTGTCACTTTTTAATTCTTCGTATTTGGTTAAGAAATTTGACAATATAAAATAAGTTTGTATAAACATCCATAGAAACAAACTTATTTTGATGGAATTAATTTACAAACCTTTTTATTAAATCCAATATAAATAGGCATGCCGCCTCCCTTAGATCCTACCTTGTTAGTTGGAAGTTGGAAAGAATGGAGCAATCAAGATTCGTAATCCCCGCATCGGAGGTGGAATCGAGGGAGGCCCTCCCCTCCCTCGTCTCCTCCTCCGAGCCCCTAGTCCGCACCCCCATCTCCAACTTCAACGTCGCCGCCGTAGGCCTCGGCGCCTCCGGCCGCGCCTTCGTCGGCGTGAACATCGAGTTCCCCGGCCTCCCCTTCCACCACACCATCCACGCCGAGCAGTTCCTCCTCACCAACATGTCCCTCCACGCCGAGACCACCCTCCACTCCTTCGCCGTCTCCGCCGCCCCCTGCGGGCACTGCCGCCAGTTCCTCCAGGAACTCCGCCACGCCCCCGACGTCCAAATCCTCATCACCTCCGACCCAAACCCTAGCTTCACCCCTCTCTCCCACTTGCTCTCCCACCACTTCGGTCCCCACGACCTTCTCCCCCAGAGCGAACCCCTTCTCTTGGAGCCTCGCCACAACAACCTCACTCTCCCAAACCCTAATTCTCTTACTCTTGCCGCTTTAGAGGCCGCCAATGCTTCCCACGCGCCCTACAGCGCCTGCCCCTCTGGCGTGGCGCTTCTCGACTCCAAGGGGGCTCTTTACAAGGGCTCTTACATTGAGTCCGCCGCTTATAACCCCAGCTTGGGGCCCCTACAGGCCGCGCTCGTCGCCTTTATCTCCGCCGGCGGTGGGGACTATGAGGACATTGCGGCGGCGGTCTTGGTGGAGAAGGAGGGGGCGCTCATCAAGCAGGACCACACCGCCAGGTTGTTGCTCCACTCCATAGCGCCCCTGTGTCGCTTCGAGGCTTTTCTTGCAACTTGAACTCAACAACATTCTTATTATTTCTCTCTACTCTACTTCAAAATTCAAATAATGTTTTTCTCTCATCTTCTTCTGCAACCCAACTCACTCACCTATGCTTCAAATATTTTAACTGCTGAAATAAACTAATTCTAAAAGGATCAATGAATACAACTTGTCAAAGGATGAATCTATCTTTAGTTGATTCAAATAATGTATTTCTCTTGGGAAATATAGTTGATTCACTGTTTTTATCTTCTCATGTATGATATGAGGCACTAGCACTTTTTGGACCACGTCTCTTTTCCTAGTGCTCCAATGGGTGGCTTGTCCAGAGTTGGAGCTCCTCTTTCTAATATGGTTACACTTTCGATATGTGTTGCCACGTTATCCAATGTGAAGTTTCTGTGTACAAATATTTGTCTATGTGAAAATCATTTCTCATGTTTTATTCAAACAATTATCAAATCCTTATCCTTATCTACCATAAAGAATAAAATATTCATAAGGGCCTCAAAGTCATAATCGATATTATATATTTGATCAATTATGATATAACACTTCAAGTGGAAAATAATGTGAAAATGTTGAGTTAATCTATGAAAAATTCTAAATTCTCCGAAATCATGTGCGAAACTTATTTCGAATCCTTAAAAAATTGGTTTAAACTATAAAATATTAAATTAAATAATTATTTTAAAATAAATTTATTGAAAAGTAAGAATATTTTAAAATTTCAGACGCCGTTTCAGTTTGTTTGTGGAGGATATAGTAATTCACTTTAATCTATTAATGATCAAGATTTTAAATTGTGATTGTAATTATAGTTTCATCATGATCTAATCTATTGTAAGAAATTACAAATAAACACGATTGATGCAATTATAATTACATTTACAATGAATTTAAAAATGTTGACGTTATAACTGAAATTATAATTATTGGTTATTTTTAAGACCTTGCTAATTATTATATTTAAGTACCTTTTATATATTAAATACTCCAACAAACACCTATTATTTTTTTTATTTCTCTTTTCCTATCACATCATATCACTTATAAATATATAATACATATATTTTTTCTCTTATTTCTTTTTTCTCTCTAAATAAAATTTAGTATCCACCAAACTTTTCCCTTATCCACCGGGAAGAAAGAATTATTGCGCAAACAACACCCCCACCCCAAGCCCAAAAAAGGGTTAAAAAAGAATAAAAGTAAACAGATTTTGATCTAGATATGAGGTTATCAATCATGGCAGTATTTTTCTTATCCTACGCGTCTAAGCACTCAATTTATAAGCCTTGCTGCTTATTCAACTTGACTATGTGCTTTGTATCCAAATTGAACAGTGGGGGTAGTTCGTAGATAGAATGGACTGAATTATCATTTGAAACCGTTTGTGCTAGTTGCTATCAGCAGATTATGATGATTGATGCACAACTTGCTCGAGCCTTGACTTGACTGTATGCAACCTTGCTTTTCTTTAACCATCTAAACTTCCAGTCTGACACATTTCCATGAGTAGATGTGTACAAATTGCAATGGAAACTGGCAAGGAAGTGTTTCAATTAGGATGAAACGTTTACTTTTGAGCTACATGTAGCCAATTATTGACTTTAGAAAAATACAAAGGTTCACCATCAAGGCAATTAAATGAATGTTTGTTTTACCCGCAACAAAGGCAAATAACATTCTGAATTGTCCACTCTCAATACATGTCACAAGAAACTACATCATGGGATTAAGATAGCTTCAGAGAAATAACAACAAAGACAATGCAATATCTATCAACAATACATTGGATAATTATGAATCAATGATGAAGAAGGGAAGTGACAAGAAATATAAACCTCCTGATTCTAATTTGTAGAGATTTGTTCGGAACAAGGATATTTAGCAGTCCTGAATTATCTAACAACTTTTTCTCTTGTATTGACAATTTGCCTCTAAGGCAAATTAAAAGAAGAGGAACCAGCTTGTCTAAGAGGGACTTTGACGACCTCTCTAACACCTTTTACAACCCTTACCTCTTCATCCATGGTAAACAGATCTTCTGTTTCTCTCATCACAGCATGGACCAACACAATTGCTAGTGCAACAGACATACCTGCTATCACATTGTAGGTTACATTGGTGAGAACAAGCAAACCAATGGTGATCAACAACAAAGAGATAACCACCAATCTCTCATCGATTTCAAACCTCAAAATCACCAAAGGGGTGTCTCGTAGGAAATACAAGTAGAGCCATGCAATCATCATGACAACTAGTATGATCAAGGAAATGGGGTGGCCTAGTAAGCTAAGGAAAAGTACAAGCAGTATTATGATGACGTAGTTGGCACGAAAATGTTTTGCATTTGTGTTGATTCTTTGGATTGAACCGAAGAAGGAAGGTGGAAGTTTGAGATGAGAAATTTGGAAGACTTCTTTCCATGGTCTTGTTGTACCTAAACCAGCTCGAATGCGCTCTTTGGCATGTGAAACAAAAAGAGGATTTGAATCTGATGAAACCCCTGCCTCTTCTGAGATTGTTCCATATGTAGTCATTTTTTTTCTGTTTATTGAGAGAAAGGTGGAGAAGGAATCAAATGAGAATGAATGCAATTTGGCAAATGATTGCTGTTTCAACAAATGAATCAGACTGCAACATGACAAACCCACATGTTGTGGATCTCTTCGCTTTTCTAGGACAAGCTCTCATCAAACATGATATTATACACTCAAAACACTAATTTTGCTTTTTGTAGATGGAAATTCATTAAACAAGAACTAAAATTAGTTCAATAAGATTCAGGGAAGACTTTCCATGTATTGAATAATTATTATTTTTTAACATATAATTTCTATCGATACTTATACATTAAATACAAATGATTAATTTAATTTTTATTTATCATAATTATTTATTAATTAATATTAATATTTTAAAATAAATTATCAATAAATAAAATATTTTTTTGTTATAATATAAATAATAAATCTAAAATATATTTTATATTAAAAATATTTATTTAAATTTTAAATATAATTTATACATTCAAATATGGTTTTTTTATATATGATTTATTATAAATTTTAATTATATATAATAAACATATTTGTACATTACACAGATTAAAATACTAATTATAACTGAAATTCATAATAAATAAATATTTTTAATATATAAGTTATATTTAAGTTTATAATATAAAAAAATTAAATTTTGATACAAAGTTATTTTTTTTATCATTTTTTTAACTAGTTATTAAATAAAAATTGTGTGAACGAGAAACTGTGACATATGGCGTATCCACACATTTTACTTTTTTTTTAATATTAATCTGACTTTTTAAGTATTTAATATGGTTAATTTGATATGAGAATGAATGTAGTGTGTAGATTAGGATTTAGGAAGTGGTTGTAGTGAGTAATTTAAACGGATAGTTTAAGGATAAAATGGTGGATAGTTTAGAGAGTAATTAAAGAAATAAATAGTCAAATAAAAATGGAGGGTAAAAAAAATATTTCCTATAGTTAGATTAATGAAATTCAATATTAACAATAAGTAAAACATCTCCCTGACTCAAATATTAAAAAAAAAAAAAAAGAGTTAAATTAAATTAGATATTATTCGGCTATTTCATGTCAGATTTAGCAAAAGAATTGAGCCATAGCATTTCATTTTACTGAAGTTTTCAAGTACATGAGTACAGTCAGCTAATGAATGGTCAAGAATGAGACAGAACAAACAATTCTGCTGGGTATTCTTCTAAAACGAAAAAAAAAAAAAAAAAAAAAAAAAGAGTAAATATACAAAATACATATATCCTTCGCATCATAAATTTCTCTAGAATACAGTCTTTTCGGGGTTGTCCATTGTGAGACGGTTTATAATACAAATTCGTGAATAGAACTTAGAATTACTATGCTTAGACAGACTCTGCTGGTATATCCTTAGCAACAGAGGAAGGCTCAGCAAGCAGATCGCCAATGTTCACAGGTGGACCAATGCTGCATCGAGCTGTGTTATGTGTCCCGATGGCATCCTTTATTTTTTGAAACTGTGATTTCAAATGAACCATTAGCTGATTATGAAATTAAAAGATTTGGCTCCCAGCATTCTATATAATTAAGTTCTATCCACAATTATAAGCTTCTATATCCATCATCATATATTTGTTTCACTATTAGGCTTCCCACTTACCCAGCAAGTTTGCAGGCAAGTCTTGTCCTTAATGAGGAAAACAGATAAGTGAATGTAGGGGTGTGTAAAAAACTCAAACCAATCTAGATTATTAAAAATCAAGCTGTTTTAAGAAGAAAAAAAATTCAATCGATCCACTTTGCAAAAATAATTCGATTAACCAACTTATTTTTATAGAATGGATTGGTTTGATTCGATGTTTTGAAAACTGGATCCACATGTGTATAAAGTAGATAAACCAAAATGCATTGAACTAGTCTAATTTAAAAAAATCTGATCCATTTTTCAAAAAAACTAAACTCATCCACTTTATAAAAAATTATTTGGTTAACAAAACAATTTTATAAAATGGATCAGTTCAGATTTTTTCAAAAATCCAATTCCATCAACAACCTTAAGTGAATGTGTGTTTCTATGTATTTGATTATCCTTTTTTCTTAATTCAACCAGCCAAACAAACACTAGAGAAAATGATGCTAAAAGAAAAAATGCCTAGGCATCATCAATATTAAAAAAACAAAGACACACTAGGCATCATCAATTTAAAAAAAGGATAACCATCAATTTAGAAGAAAAAAATCTGATCCGTCTTTTAAAAACCCAAACTAATCCACTTATAAAAATGGTTCAGTTAACCGAATCATTTTATAAAATAGATCAGTTGTGTTCAGTTTGGATTTTTTCAAAAAATTCAATCCATGAACAACCCTAAATGAATGTGTGTATCTATGTACTTGATTATCCTTTATTCTGAATTCAACCGGCCAAACAAACACTAGAGAAAATGATGCTAAAAGAGAAAATGCCCGGGCATCATCAATATTAAAAAGGCTAAAAACCTTATTTGGTCCCTTACAATAATTGTTTGTTTCAATTTAGTCATACTTTTATTTTTGGTCTCAATTTAGTCCCTAATAAATTAAATTGTTGCAATGTCGGACTTCCGTCCAAATTATTTAGATGGAGTTAACTATTGGCCACGTGAATGTCACATGGAAGCTACGTAGATGCCACGTGGAAGTTACGTAGATGCCACGTAGATGTCAAATTTTGTCATGCATCTAGAACCAGAACGGGCCGTTCTGAAACCGGAACGGCCCTTTTTCGGTTGCACTCATGGTGTGTAAATTTTGCATCTGGAACAGCCCGTTCTAGATGCATTATTTAACACCAACGCGTGCAGCAGAATGGGCCATTCTGGAACCAGAACGGGCCGTTCTAGCTTCCAAAACGGGCTGTTCTGGATTCAGAATGCGCTGTTCCAGAATCCCAACCAACATAGTTCACCAGTGTGGTTCAAAAATTGAAAGCAAACCATTTACACATAACACAATTTTTTTTATCTAAAAACTAATATATTTGAAAAAATAAAAATTATATTCTAATATATATATATATATATTTAAACTATCGTATGTATAAAATATAAATTTTGAGAAATTATTCATTTATCTGATATTTGTCAAACTTTTGTACTTTCTATTTATTGTTTATGTTGATAAAAAAATTAAAATTGTAAAAATTTATATCACATATTAAAAACATCTTTATATAATAAATAAATTAAACTTAATTTTTATAAGATTTAACATATTTATTTATATGTTTTTATTAGTGTTAAATTATTATTAAGTAGGTTTTTAAGATTGTTATGTAACCAAACATTTTAAAAAATGTCTATGACAGATAAATATATAATATTTATAACATGTATTTTTAACAAAAATTAGGTTTAAATCTGTTAAATTATAATATAACATAATCTGACCTAGTTTATTTTTATCCTTAATCATAACTGTAGATATAAAAACTTGTAAAAAATAACTATAATATATATTTATACTTTTAAAAATTATATGTAAAATTTTTAATATTACAAATATATGAATAAGTATTGTTCTCACGATCCAAAATTTCTGGATATAATCATCACATTCTGAAACCAGAACGGCCCGTTCTGGTTCCAGATGCATGACAAAAATTTGACATCCACGTGGCCTCTACATAGCTTCCACGTGGCATCCACGTAGCATCCACGTGGCCAACAGTTAATTCCATCTAAATAATTTGGACAGAAGCCCGACATTGCAACAATTTAATTTATTAGGGACCAAATTGAGACCAAAAATAAAAATGGAACTAAATTGAAACAAACAATTATTATATAAGGGACCAAATTAGGTTTTTAACCTATTAAAAAACATTATTCATCAATTGGGTGCACTTCTACATTTCTTTCCTCTGAATATATAGTATATAATAAATTCTTGGCTTGGCGAGAAGATAAAAGTGTGTTCAGATTATGAAAATATTTTCTATTTTCATTTCACAATTTCACAAATCATTAGAGAGAAGTAATCATGTTTTTTACTTTGTTTCCTGTTTTCAAATATTTGCACAGAAATGGCTACTGAGAATATTAAGAATTTTTATTCGTTGTTTCCTGTATAAATCTTTTAAAACAGGAAATGGAATAAAAATTATATCACATTTCTGTAATTATTTATTTACCAACACATAAAATAGCAAGAAAATATTTTTCAAACCAAACAGGCCCCAAGTTTCAGTATAAACATTCTTGGACTCAGAATAGGCACCAATCAACAACTGCTAATTCGCTTAAAACGTAGCCAGAAATGCTAAGTAGCATAACCAGAACTATACAGTAAGAATTACCTTGGCAAGTGAACATGAAAATGATTCAAGCTGACCCTTAGCTCCACGATAAAAGTGGAAATAAGGAAGTACTTTAACATTCAGCCTTTTACACATTGGCTTATTCTCATCAAAGTTTACTTTGAGGAAAAGAATTTCAGGGTGTTCTTCAGCTGTTCTGCATAGCTACCAAATCCACATCAAGAGTCAGGATAGCTGTGATATAATTTCAGCAGCAGGCAAAAAAAATATTACAAAATATATTTACAAATATCATTCTAACTTAAATTCGTTTTAACTGTAAAGATGGTTAAACAAAACCAAATTGGTAAAACAGAACACTTGCACACAACTGGAATGATTCTTTATTTATGGACGTGGAGGTAGGCTCCCTACTGGCAGTGAGATCCTTTTGATTCTTAGTGAAAAAATACAAGCAGTGGAATGGAAGAAAATGGGAGAAAGGTGTCCCTCAATTCCCAGAACTGAACCCAAGCAACAGGACTGATATTTGTCTGAAAAGTCTCACCAACCCCCCTCTCTCACTCTACAACTAATTTTTTGCCAACTCTAGACTTTGTCACTCCCTTCCAAATCAGTAACTAACTCCCCTCCTCATCTTCCAACACATGTCCCCCTTTTTTTCCCAGAATATACTCTCCAAACCTTAGGCCCATGACTCATTTAATCTAGCAATGCGCCGATTTCCACACTTTCATTAGAAGAGAATTTTTTTATTTGGGTATAATTAAGTTCTCCCTCTCCCCATTTATTTTTGTGTTGTGCAGCAAGCACCAAAGCAGATCATGGAACCTTCAACACAAATAAGACAACCAAGATGAACAAGAATTGGGAAATGATAGTGGAACAGATAAGTGTCTTCTAAAGCAAGTAAATCAAGGACAATGAAAACATTTATTCAGAAATTGTGCAATGCAATTCAAAGCTTTCATTTTGCCAGGCACAGAAAAAAGACATAATGTAGATTTGCAGATTGGTACTACTACTCAAACCAAGATATAACATGTTACCCATGTTAACCACATTTGACATATAACTCAGCAAATATGCTTACATAACTGTTATTAATCCTTTTTCAGAAGGGATTTTATTAAAAAGGAAATTGTTGTAAATATGTGGCCACTAGCAATATCTCAAACATAGTCACTTTCAAATCATCAAGTCCTCCAGATCCTATTATAATTTAGAGTACAAAGACCAGCATGGTATAGAACGGAATCACAAGCATCCAAATGAGTACATTCATAACAATTGAGACCAAAGTTGCTACTCACTACCCACTAACTAAAACAATAGCCAATATTCAATATAGTTTTCACATGACCATGAATATAAGATAAATGATAATTTTATGACTTTTTTTTTGAACATGTAATTAAGAAAGCACAATTGTGAGCATATGCTTTTGCAACAAATAAAAATCCTCCAAAAAGTATAAGAATGAAAGGGTGAAATTCAAGAAGTATGATGACCTTGGGATATAATGCTCGGCAAGAAGCACACCAAGTTCCATAAAATTCAACAATAACTAGTCTATCCCCAGCTTGACTCAAAGCAGTCAGAAATTCTTGTGTAGAGTGAATGTCAATCATATTTGGTGCATTCCTTTCCCACCATTTTGGCTGACCAGTTTCAGCAACAGTTGCACATACCTGAAGTAAAGTGAGTAAAATCCAACAAAATCTGTGAGAAAAACACAATATAATTTAGTAATCCATAGAATTGACTAGCAGTCAACAATATATCAAAATCTAGTCATCTGTTTACTATAGGCAAGAGTTCCTTCTGCACTGTTTCCAAAATAATTAACTTATTCACTTATAAATTCTTGATCATTAAAATCCAAAGGATAAAAACAACCTAGAATTGACTCACAATTAATAAAACATTCCAATTTATAACACCTCTCAGATGGTCTAGTGAGAACATTTGAATAGCATGGGACCTAACACAAACTCGCGATGCAAATACATAATTCCAATAGTAAGCAACAAATAGCATTGGCACCATCCATTATGCTTTACAGATATCCAGATATAAAATTACAATCAGTATCAAGAAGGTAGGGGGTAGTTATAGTCTTAATAAATAGCACTCAATTGCTTGTGCAAGCTCAATAAAGTAACAACTAGTGCAATTTACTTCAACTAACTACATAATTCATCAGTGATCATCACAAACTAACAGCATCACATTAATAGAGAGAGCATGCTAAAAAAGCATACAACAGTCCAGGAAAGCCTTCTTTCTCCAACTGTTACTATTATTCTGTACAAAATGGGAATGCTACATGGCACTTCCGTGTTATTCATTCACGTGTGAATGCCTGCCTATTACTGTGCATTAAATATCAAAATTCAGATACACAATTCAAATTGTTCTAGCCTAGCAAGAAATATCTGGTTTATCATTGCCTCCAGCTAGTCCTCACATCCTATTAGAAGGATGACCAACAGAATAAAACTTTTAGTCCTCCAGTGGTAATGAAAATCATTCATTTTATGATCATGAATTTTATCATCTAACCCAAGCATGTTTTGAAAATGGGTTATATGGAAAAAAAAAACTAATGGTATCCACTTTATAGTACTACACAAGGACTAGAAATATTTTGGATGAGGTGGCTAGCCCAAGAAATTAGAAAGCAATAACAATACCAAAAGTACATCTCAGTATATTAGCCTGAAAATATGCATAGACCTAAGCTGTTTTGGCATCAGCAGACAATGACCAAAAGTAATAGAGTAATAAATAATCAAATTACTCTTTGAAAGAGATATCACTGGTTATACTAATCCTTGAAAGATGAATATTTTTTAAGTAATCATGTTATTAGTGCGAAACATCTACGGGGAATAAAAGAGTTTGATGGTGAGAACAACCAAGTACCAAGAGATAAATGAGTCATTCATTGCAAAAAATGAAAAAATTGGTTGGGTTATGATAAGAACCTTGGGAGAACCACACCACAAAAGCTAGGTATTGCAGTTGGAGAGAGCACAAGGCCTTATAAACCCCACACAAGATGACAAGAATCCCATATTTCCAATGTGGAACCCAAGTCTCATACCTTGCAATTGGATCCTAACAGGTTCACAACATACACCGATATTGATATTGGGGGAATGTCATGATTCCTCATGGAAGCCTCCAAGGTTCAGTTTGGAAAACATCACAGTCTTGGATGAAATTATTAGGGAGTGATTGAGATAAGATCTTCTTTCTCAAATAGTAACCAGAATGAATACCGTCATTGGAGTCAAATCTGTAACCAACCAGGAACTTGTAGGTCTCATCCTCGATTTCATTCAAAATCTTCATCTCAATTCTCCAAGAGTGTCACCCAAAGACCTTTGCCTTTGAAACGAGTTCATTTTGAAAGACAAATGTCTTTGGATGACAATCTTGGTGAATTGAGATGGAGCTTTTGAACAAAATTGAGCCCAAGACCAACAAGTTCCCATTTTGATACAGATTTGACCCAAAGATCATATTCTTGCCGGTTAGTTACCGTAAGAGAAAGAAGATCTTATCTCAGCCACTCCCTGATAACTCATCCCAGAATGTGATGTTTTCCATACTGAACCTTATAGGCTTCTGGGAGGAATCAAGTCATTCCCCCAATATGAGAATGTGTTGTGATTCTTGTGAACCATACACATATATATGTGTGTGTATATATATTTGTAATGAATGACTCATTTATCTCTATGTACTTGGCAGTTCTCATCATCAAATGCAAGACTACAGAAATAATTCAATTAATCTCACATTCTAAGAACAAATAGAACAACGAAACGTATATTGTAGAGACTTATGCGGTAATTTGAACCCGTTAAGCATTAATCTGACCAAGATAATGTCTTCTTCTAGGAACTAAACAACAGTAAATGGTTTGTCCTACTCCCAAGTCCTAACAACAACATCTGGCAATTAACACACAACCCGAGATTCAAATATCAAATGGGAGCGTAATTGGAGCATGATTAAACCAAGAGCAGCTATAAAGTGACTTAATTACTCGCTCCTAATCACGAATGCATAAAATAACAAAAGGGGAGGGTTAAAAAAGCGACCTTGAAGGAAAGCAATTGCTTTCGGGGCGCGAAAGCAAGAGTGGTAGCAGGTGGCGCCGCTGAAGAAGAAGAAGAAGAAGTAGAAGAATAGGCGAGAGGAGAGAATAGCCTCTTTGCAGTGTTGGTGACAGCAGAGGGTGGCGATGGGAGGGTTGTGAAGAAAGAAGAAAAGGAGAATCGAAATTGTAATCGAATAGCATCAACATGTGCCATTTACAGAGTGAAGAGTGAAGAGTGGTAGCGCTACAAGAAGGGTTGAATTAGACACATGAGGATGAGGACACAAAAAGAACAAGTGTTGAATGAGACGAATTGTGTTGTGTTGTGTTGTGAATGAGAAAGTTTAACACAAGAAAGCAGAAGCAGATAGATAAATTGTGCGAACCAAATGAAATGAAATGAAATGAAACTGATATTTTCCTTGCCCTTACCCACCCCCAATCCAAACGATCCACCCTCTCCTATTATTTATTGCCAATATGTACAATTACTTCACTCTTTTTTTAGTTTAACAAACATTATTATTAGTAAATTTAATTTAATTATTACGGAGTATCCCCATCTTGTATACAAGTCTTTCTCAACTAAATTGCACAATAATTTTTCTTTTTACAGCAATACATGTAAATATGTTAATTTTAAAATATTATGTGAATCATGATGATAATAATAATTTGAACTATTTTTTTTTTAAATTATTCCTAACATTTGTTAAACTATTTTTCTCTCTTTTCACTCCATTGTCTCTTACTACCTAATTGATTAATACTTCATTCAAATTCAGCTATAAGCAAGTTTAACTAATTTATATATGGATTAAAATTTTATTAACAATATTTAATTTTACTAATTTTAATTAAAATTATCTTTTTTTCCTATTATACCTTCTATTGAAATTTGTTATCACAAATAAAAAGTGTCATGAAATAGGATCTCAAATAATATATATATATATATATATATATATATATCACAAATCTACGTCTCCTAAACTCAATGTGAACAGGAGATACTGCTCCTATTGACATTGCTGTGTGCTTGGTAACAG